GGGGGTCCCTCTGTACATGCAAGTTTGAGAACCCTGGCTCTAGAGGGTCCCAGAGGGTGTGGACCAAGGACAGAGGGACGAGGTTGTCCTCTCCTGCCCTTGCTGCTTGGCTTCTTTTGGTTTTCTTGGCCTTGTTTTCTTTTTGAAATGTTTTCACCTTCCTTTCTTTGTAGCCAGTGTGTAAACAGGGTCTCCTTCCTAAAGCAGGTCCTTCCTCCCCAGTATAGACCATGGAGGAGGCGGCTCAGGAGATGAGAGGCTTTTGTTGGTCTAGCCCAGTTCCCAAGGCTCTGGGGCTTTTTAGCAATATACAGATTTGTGAGGGAGGAAGGAAAAAAAAATTGGGGGGAGGGAGCACAAAAAACAGCCTCCTTAAACCCAGGGGTTGGCCTGTGTTTACCGCAACCGTCTTTGTGGCCTCAGATCATGAGTTCAGGGCTGTCTGAAACTCCCCCAGCAGCGGTGACAGTGTTTCTTGCTTTGTGGGAACTTCACATGGTGGAGGCCCCTCTGCCCCCTCGTCCCCACAAGGCTCATTTCCTTGTAAGTTGCCTCTGCCTGGGCTTCTGCGGATAAAGCCCATTCTCCCTTCATGAGAGGGAGGCTCTGACACCAAGCCTCCCACCAGGACTGGATCCTGACACCAGCTGTGTCCTTGAGGATGCTGGTGTGTTGTTGGCTGCTGTCCAGTTCAGGGCCGCCTGTGCTTGAGTGAACCGTTTTCCAAGATGATGGTTTCAAAAAGCGACACAAGGGCGGCGTCCCTGGTGGCTCAGTGGTAAAGAGTCCACAGGCCAAGGGAGGAGACACAGGTTTGGCCCCTGATCTGGGAGGATTCCGAATGCCTCGAAGCAGCTAAGCCCGTTCCCCATAACTGCTGAGCCTGTGCTCTGGAGCCTGGGGCCCATGTGTCACAACTGCTGGAGCCCATGGACCCTGGATTCTATGCTCCACAGTGAGAGAAGCCACCGTGATAAGAAGCCCACACATCACAACTGGAGAGTAGGTCCTGCTTGCTGCGACTAGAGAAAGGCCCACACAGCAACAAAGACCCAGCACAGCCATTAAAAAAAAAAAATGACACAAGCAAGCACTGCCTGGACATGAGGAGAACAAAGGAAGAGGCGCCTATTTGGCCCTGAAAACCAAAGCCTTCCCAAAGCCCCTCTGTCTTAACCACTAACCAGCGAACCATTAACCAGCTAAGAGACCTAGGGCTTGCCTCTCCGGTCCGGGATCTCAGAACTGGAGCCCTGCTTGTTTCTGCTGCCCTTCTCGCAGGCTGAGTCATCGGAATGCCACATGGGCAGCCAGCCTTTTGAGGGTGAGGAAGGAGTGTATTTCCAGGCAAGTCATCCTGTACACAAATTACTAGCAACAAGGGAAACCACACAGGAAAGTGTAGCTTCCCTCGGTCCTACTCTGTTGGTTTTCTAGCGCGGGTGGGGTTTTCCCTCTTTCCCCAGCCTTTGAAGGAAAATGAATATTGAAGAATTTCTCTGCATGCAATCAATGGCACAGACCAAGTTCTAGCCAGTCCCTCAGTCCAGATGCCTAAGATGGGTTACCCTGGTCTCAACTTCTTCACCAGACTCTCTGTTTATAAGGACCAGGGCCTTAGTTCCCTCTGGTCATACATGTTTGACTCTTTCATGAGTTCCAACCCATCCTCCTTTGTCTTCCTTTGTTACAAGGCTTCTGTCCCAGAGCCCCTTATTTGGGTCTGTTGTAAATATGTGTTGTAGAAAGAACTCATGTTTACTCAAGATAACTCTGCTTTTTTTTTTTGTTTTTCTTCTAGAAAGGAAAGTTGCTGTAATCAGAAAAGCCAGCAACCTGGGGTGAAGGTAGACTCAGGTCCTTAGGCCAACTCTAAAGATTCTGCTCAGCCATGACAGTTTTCAAAGGGCAAAAAGGGGAAAGAATCTCAGTGAATCATCCAAAAGGAGGGTGGACTCTGCATCCTTCTCTACTGTGCCATTGTGTGCACACTGGCTGTGTGTTATTACACTGCCCAAGTGATCTGCTTGCAGCATTGCTAAGGGAGCTGTTGGAGGCAGAGAGCTAATCATTTCTTAACTACTTAATTCTTCATCCTTATGCTTTAGTCTAGGAAAAAGGTTAGACAAGGCAGGCATGGGTAACTCAGTGGTAAAGAATCTGCTTGCCAGTGCAAGTGTTGTGAGTTTGATCCCTGGTCCAGGAAGATCCCCTGGAGTAGGAAATGGCAACCCACTCCAGTATTCTTGCCTGGAGAATCTCATGGACAGAGGTGGATCCAGGGCACCAGATTAGGTGAGCACTCGTAGAGATAGGTGTCCTGAATAAAGTGGCACTGGCAAACGCGCTTCATCTTGCCACAGTGGTTCCAGGTGAATCTGTACAGGTAGGAAGTAAGCTATGGTCTTCTCAGCTGATGTTGACAGAGCTGTGACCATTCTTCTTCCCGGGGCTGCACCGCCCGTGTAACCTGTCCTTGGGACCTAGTTTTCCTTATGGAGCTTGGCGTTCATGCAGACATTGAGAAGCTCCATCCTGGGCTGGGCTACCTGGATGGCAGCCACCCACACCAAAAGGCACTGCAGCCGCGTTGTCTTCCAGGCCATGCTTGTCCCTGAGAGAAGAGTTGTGGTCAAAGGAACAAAGAATGTGAGAATGCGGGAGGAGACAGCTCGGCTTTTAGACCAAATGTCAGATTTCATCATGAGAGAAAAATCAGAGCTTTGCACATAGAAACAATTTTATTCACCAAGGTTAAGATGGAGAGGAAGATATATTTTTGTCTTGTTTTTGCTTTTCTTTTTTTAAAAATTTATTTTATTGAAGAATAGTTGGTTTGCAATGTTGTAGTAGTTTCAGGTCAGAGAAGGCAATGGCACCCCACTCCAGTACTCTTGCCTGGAAAATCCCATGGACGGAGGAGCCTGGTAGGCTGCAGTCCATGGGGTCACTAAGTGTCAGACACCACTGAGCAACTTCACTTTCACTTTTCACTTTCATGCATTGGAGAAGGAAATGGCAACCCACTCCAGTGTTCTTGCCTGGAGAATCCCAGGGACGGGGAGCCTGGTGGGCTGCCGTGCATGGGGTCGCACAGAGTCGGACACGACTGAAGTGATGTGGCGGTGGCAGCAGCAGCAGCAGTAGTTTCAGATATACAGCCAAGTTATTGATATATATGTGTATATATATGTGTGTGTGTGTGTATACACACATATGCATATGTGTGTATTCTTTCTCAAATTCTTTTCCCTTATAAGTCATTACCAGATACTGAGAATAGTTCCCTGTGCCATACAGTTAGGTCTTCTTGATTATCTATTTTATGTATAGTGGTGTGTATATGTTAATCCCAAGCTCCTGATTTATCCCTCCCCCTGACCTTTCACCTTTAATAACCATGTTTGTTTTCTACAAACTTGTGTAAATAAGTTCTATTTAAATAAGGTCTATTGTAAATAAGTTCACTTGTATCATTTTTTAGGTTCTATATGTAAGTGTTATCATATGGCATTTGTCTTTCACTTTGTAACTTAGTTCACTTAGTATAATAATCTCTAGGTCCATCCATGTTTTAGGGTACTGTGGGTTAGGAAGCAGGGTGGTAGGAACATAGAGAAAGGTTAAGTTGTGAACCCTCCCCCCAAAAAAGAATAGAAATATATGCATGTGAGACACAAGTGACCAGTACTAAGTTGTATGAAAGATCGTGGAAGTATTGATACAGTGCAGAAGATTGCAGCCTCGAAGGAAGTGGGTCTCAGAGGAAAACACTTAGGTAGACGGGAGAATGCACGTTATTCCAAGTACAGTGTGAAGGAAGGCAAGGTGACAGGACAAGGAGGGAGACCAACTAGCCTGACAGACAAAGTTGTGCGGAAAGTAAAGAGGAGTAGGCGGGATGAATTCTTGGGAACTGCAAACAGTTTGTCCCTTAAAGGGCTTCAGGGTAGGAACAGCATGTTTGAAAAGACTAGTCAGATAGTATTAATGACTTTTAAAAAGAAAAGAATGAAAAAACATGGAGGTTTGGGTGCTACATAGCAAGTTAGTGCAGGAACCCAGTGATAAAGAGGTGGAACAGAGAGAAGTGGAGAGAAAAGGATCCTACTTCAGAGAAACAAGTTTCTGAAGAGAGAGGACAGAGAGAAGTAGTTTAATGGTTAAAAGAAGGAATTGGTTGGAATTTGGATTCTGATCTGGCTTTCTCATTTAAAACCAGCTGAATTATGTTGGGCCAGCTATTTCTCATCTCTCTGCCTAGATTTCTTGTCTGTAAAATGGGGATAAGAATAGTACCTTGCAAGGTAATTGTGAAGGACTTTTTAAAGTGCTTTACATGTATTAGGGCTTCCCTGATAGTTGGTAAAGAATCGCCTGTAATGCAGGAGACCCTGGTTCGATCCCTGGGTTGGGAAGATCCCCTGGGGAAGGGAAAGGCTACCCACTCCAGTATTCTGGCCTGGAGAATTCCATGGACTGTATAGCCCGTGGGGTCACAAAGAGTCGGATACTACTGAGCGACTTTACTCACTTTACCATCCATGTTGCATGTCCTTACTTCATTCTTTTTCTAGCTGAGGAGTATTCCACTGTATATATACCACATCTTCTTTATCCATTCATCTGTCAGTGGACACTTAGTTTGTTTCTATGTCCTGACTATCATAAATAGTGCTGCTATGAACATCAGGATTCATGTATCTTTTCCAATTAGAGTTTTGCTCCAGATATACGCCTAGGAGTGGAATCCCTGGATTGTATGGTAGCTCTCTAAAAATGTATTTTTAATTGAGTGTTTTTAATAAGAGCTTTAAAAAGGTACTCTAACCACTGCCTATAATTTGTAGTCGCCACTGTAGATGAATAATTGAAAGGAGAAAACCTCTTTAGAAGCAGAAAATGAATCACAGCCGTGTACTTTGCCTTGCTCATACATGTGTGGTTCTTATGTTGTTGGCTGCTTTCTTTCTTCGATTTCAGAGTAGAAACTCTTCTTGCTCCTTTTGCAGGAAGAATTCGAGTAGATGAGCTGGAAGACTGGGAGAGCTGAGACGGGAAGATTTTGAAGTCATTCTTCATCTGAAGCTATGATTTAAACATCAGCGTTATGGTCAGTATTTAGAGAGAAACAGAACTATTCTAAGGTTATATACACATTATTGGTTTTGCCTGAAATTCTGAGAATACGGTAAAGGACATTGTGAAGGGTGAGTTTCTTTCAATCACATTCAACAAACCAGAGCTCTGAGAAAAGTAAAGGTATCTCAGGGATAAGTTATGGGACCACGAACATCCAGGGGGAGAACCATTCCGACAAACTGGGAAAGTCTGTTTCCCCAGTAGCCATGCATTCCAGTGTGTGAAAGAAAAGCCAAGCTTAATATATTGGGGTTTCCTTTTTGAACTGGGCTCTGGACATGACAAAGCTTTCATGGACTCTGAGTTAGACTTTTAGTGTGTGTGTATTTTTTTTAATTCTGTATTGAATTTGTTCCAGTATTGCTTCCATTCAATGTTTTGTTTCTTTGGCCTTGAGGCATGTGGATCTTAGCTCCCCGACCAGGGTTTGAACCTGCACCGCCTGCATTGGAAGGCAAAGTCCCAACCACTGGACCACCGAGCAAGTCCCTGAGTTAAGACTCTTTAGAGGAGGGCAGGGCCAGGCATTGCAAGGGCATCAGAAGCATCTTTCTGGGGACTGTGCTGTCTGCCCTGTTGCTCTGGGGCAAGATTTCTCAAAATGTGTTCCATGGAACACACTTCTCTAGGCTCTTAATGCACTGGGGACAGGGCCGTGAAGATGGGTCTGTGCTACAGTGAGTTTGAAAAACATTCAATAACCTTCCTTCCTGAAGGTTGCAGAAATGGATGAGTCTTGTGACTCTCCATGGGCGTGTGGTTGGCAAGGCTCATGGGAGTCCCGTGGAGTTCTTCTTATATGGCATCAGAGGTCCAATGTTTATGTGTTCATTAAGTATGTATTAACACCTGCTATGTCTGTGTTAGGCACTAAAAATACAGCAGTAAATGAGATCAGCGGGGCTTGTGTATAGATAGCAAGATAAGAAGCAAACAAGAGCAATTATTTTTTTCCTCTTTAAAAATTTTTTTTAAAACTGGAGTATTAAAAAAAAACTGGAGTATAGTTGCTTTACAATGTTGTGTTCATTTCTGCTATGCAGCAAAGTGAATCAGTTATATATATACATATATTCCCTCTTTTTTGGATTTCCTTCCCATTTAAGTCATCATAGAACATTGAGTAGAGCTCCCTGTGCTATAGCAGGTTCTCCTTAGTTACCTATTTTATATATAGTGTAAATATAATAGTGTATATATGTCAGTCCCCGTCTCCCAGTTCATTCCACCACTCCTTCCCCCCTTCATGTCTGTACATTTGTTCCCTACATCTGTGTCTCTATTTCTGCTTTGCAAATGGGTTCATCTGTACCATTTTTTAGATTCCACACATACATGTTAATATAGCAGATGTTTAAGAGAATGGTCTCAGGAGTGAGGGGCCTGGGTTTGAATCCTAAGTACACCACTTACAAACCACATGAACTTGAATAAGACACTTGATGTCTTTCAATGTTGACATCTATAAAATGGTGATAATCCGTCTACCTAGTGAGGTTGTTGTGAGGATTAAAACGATGAATCCGTGCTGGCAAATACTAAAGCTTATGCAAGTGTGATCACAATGAAGGATAATGGCTGAGTGTGTTGCAAGTTGTGTGACATGTGTCTGGGGAGGAGGCAGTGATGGTGGGGACTTGGAATGGGGTGGTCCAGCTCTGCCTTGAGGCAGAGACCTGTGAAGAGGAGCAGACTGAGCCGTGGAGACAGAACAGGGAGCGAACACAGTTGCACACGGGCCTGTCTCAGGCACAAGGAGAAGGGGATGAGGCAGGGGATGAGATGGTTAGATAGCATCACGAATTCAGTGGACATGCATTTGAGCAAATTCCAGGAGATAGTGGAGGACAGAGGAGCCTGCCTGGCATGCTGCAGTCTATGGGATTGCAGAGTCGGACACAACTTAGCAAATGAACAACGACAACAGCGGTCTCATGCAGAGAAATTTGGACATGTGTTGTGCATACTAATTTGGTTCACAAATTCTAACGCCTCTTTAAGATTAAATAAAGTAAACAACAACAAACTAGGGTCGAAGCAGACTTCTTCAACCTAAAAAGAGCACCCCACAGCTCACTTCATACTTAATTGTAGAGGACTGAAAGCTTTCCACCTAAGATCTAAATCAGCTTCAGAAAGGTTGTGGGATACAAGAGCATTATGTCTAATGGAACAGTGCACATGCCTTAATTTTAAAATGCTTTATTGCTAAAAAAAAAAAATACCATCATCAGAGCCTTCAGCAAGTCATTATCATTTTGCAATAGTAACATTAAAGGTCACTGATCACAGATCACAATAACAAATATAATAATGAAAAAATTTGAGATACTGCAATAATTACCAAAATGTGGCACAGAGATGTTGTGAGCAAATACAGTTGGAAAAATGGTTCTGATAGACTTGCTTAACAAAGGGTTGCCACAAGCCTTCACTTAGCATTAAAAAAAAAAAATGCAGTATCTGCAAGTACAGTAAAGCACAGTAGAACAAGGTGTGCCTGTACTTAGGAATAAATGTAATTAAAGAAATATAAAACATGCTCATAAAGCTACAAAATATTGAACAAAATTTAAAGTCCCAAATAAATGGAAAAAAATCTCATGTCCAGAGATCAGAAGACTTACTATTATGAAAACAATACTCCCTAAATTGATCTATAGATTCAATGCCGTCTCTATCAAAATCTCAGATGAATTCTTGCAGAAATCAACAAACTGACCCTAAAATTCATAGAGAAGTTTAAGAGACCCAGAATAGCTAAAACATCTTGAAAAAAAAGCAGAATTAGAAGACTCATCCTTTCTGATTTCAAGACTTAATACAAAGCTACAGTACTCAAGACAATGGTTCTGGCACAAGAATAGACATATTAATTTTTGGCATGGAATTGATAGACTAGAAATAAACTCCTACATTTATGGTAATTGATTTTTGACAGTCGTGCCAAGATAATTCATTGGCAGATAGTGTCTTCAACAAATAGTTAGGACAACTGAATATCAACACACAAAAGAATGAAGTTGGATCCTACCTTACACTGTGTATAAAAATTAACTCAAAATGAATCAAATTTTTAAATGTAAGAGCTAAAACTACATCCTTCTTAGAAGACAACATGAGTGTTAATCTTCATGACCTTGGGCTAGGCAATTAATTTTTTAAGACATAACACCAAAAGTGTAAGTGACGAAAGGAAAATAGGTAAGTTGGATTTCAACCAAATTAAAAGCTTTTGGGATTAAAAGACACTCTCAAGAGAGTGAAAAAACCTACAGAATGAGAGAAAATACTTGCAAATCATGTAACCTAATAACATACTTGTATCTAGAATATATAAGAACTCTTACATTACAATTCAAGAATAGAACGAAAACCTACTTAAGAAATGGGCAACTATCTGAAACAGGCAAAGGTATGTAAATGGCCTATAAGCACATGAGAAAACTTTCAATATCACCAGCCATCACGGAAATATAAACAAAAACCAGAAGGAGATACCACTTCCTACCCTCTATGAAAGATGGAAAGTAACAAGTGTTGGTGAGGACATGGAGAAATTAGAACTCTCATACATGGCTGGTAGGAATGCAGAATCTTTCCCAAGCAGCTGCTTTGGAAAGCAGTTTGGCAGTTCTTAACATAGTTAAACATAGATTTTACCTTATGACCCACCATATCCACTCCTAGGTGTATGCCCAAAAGAAATGAAAGCATATTTCTATACAAAAACATAACATAGCAGTATTACTTTTTAAATTTTATTGAAATATAGTTGATTTACAATGTTTGGTTAATTTCTCCTATAAAGCAAAAAGATTCAGTTATATATACTTTTTTATATTCTTTTCCATTATGGTTTATCACAAGATATTAAATATAGTTCCCTGTGCTATACAGTAGGACCCTGTTGTTTGTCCATCCTATATGTAATAGTTTGCATCATATAGCAGTATTATACACAATTGCCAAAGAATGAAAACAATCCAAATGTTCATTAACTGATGAACAAACAAAATGTTGTATATTCATATAATAGGATGTTATTTGACTATAAAGGGGAATACTGATACATCCTATGACAAAGATGAGTATTGGAAATATACTCACTGAGAGAAACCAGACACAAATGACTGTGTATTATATGATTCCATTTATATGAAGTTTCCAGAACAGTCAAATCTATAGAGACATAAAGTAGATTAATGGCTGCCCAAGACTGGATTGTTGTAGGGGAAATTGAGAGTGACTGCTGATGGGTATGTGGTTTCCTTTGCGGGTGATGAAAATCAGTCTAAAACTGATTTGATAATGGTTGTACAGCTCCACAAATATACTAAAAACCATTGGCTAGTACACTTTAAATTGGTGAATTGTATGGTGTGTGAATTATGTATCAATAAAGCTGCTGTATATAAGAAAAAAGAATGTTTCTTGGTGGTACAGCTGTCAACACTGGTGATAGCTGAGATGTGGGGAGTGAGGACTGGGAGGGCAGAAAGCATGACTCCCAAATCCTGGCAGCTTCTGAGGAGGAGAGGAAAGACTGGGGGGAGGGGGGTTTTCTTTGTTTTTCTTTTTGCATTTGTTTGTTTGTTCATGAGGAAGGCCAGCTTTGAGACTTGAGATTTCTGTTGTGGACATAAAAAGTTTGAGGTATCTGTCGAATATCCAAAAGAGGTATTAAGTAGATAGTTGAACATGACACCAGAACTCTGAGGAGCAACTCTGACTATCGATGGGTTTTAGGTAACAAGTAAGTTCATCTGAAAGGATGACAACAGAGAGAAAGAGTTTGTTACAGAGGCTCAGGGTGGGATGGGGTAGAGGAGAGGCAGCCAGCCAGGGAGGCAGGAAGTGGGAGAGGGTGGGGTCCTTGAGCCCAGGTGACCAGGATGAGGGTAGTTCAGAGGTGGGGACCCCAGACCAGAGTGGATTGAGAAGGG